TTTTCTCTCCCTTTCTCCTTGTGAGCTAATTTGCTTTTCAGTTCCAAGAAGAAAGTATAATCAAGACAGGCTGTCTAACAGTTGAAATTCTTCACATCAAAGTTTCTCAGTAGTCCTTCTGTAACTAATTTTGAATTGTCTGAGGAACCCTCAGAGTAATTAAGTGTACTTGATTAAAAACAAATGAACCACAGATAGCCATGAAAGCTCTGTGGATGAGTAGAGTTGGGCTTGTAAATTATTTCTGGTAATGGGAAATGTGAGTCAGGACTTGTAAATTCTGCATTTGTTAGACGATAATTTCTTTGTTCTAAAACAGGTCTTAGGGCACTTTTGAAGGAGTGCTGGACATTATAGAACATACGTGGGAAAATACTACGATTACAAATATGTAGTTTTACTTAGTAACTAAACGTTGATGCCTGGGATGACTGTTTCGATAATCTGTTAAACAGCTGACAGAAAACAAGTGTATCATTTCAAATTTATAAAAGAAAAAAAAGATAAATGAGTTTATATATCTGAATATATGGGAAACCTGATGTTTAGGTGTCGGCACTTTGGGCTTCTATTTGTGGTTTTAATTTGGGGTTTGTTTCTCTCATGCAGTGCTGCTGGTCAACAGTGGTGTTTATTGTCAGAAAACATTGACCTGCTGTTGTCAGCACACGTTAAATGTCTGCAACCATTTCCATGTATGAAAAAACGTACTGATGATTGGGGTCATCTCCATGGTGCATCTTAAATCTTGCAAAATGAAATGACTGCAATTGTAACATTTTGCAATGAAACCAACTATAAAAAGTTGTGCTGAATATTTCATTGTGGTACACTGAGGTGTAGGGGTAGAAAAGAGAACATAATTTGTGTATGTTATAGGTGCTGCTAATTTAAACAAACTTTATTTCTCTTAGGAAATAGCAGAATACTATGCTAAACATGGAAATACTGAGGAAAGATGGAAGAAACCACCAGTGCTTGAGAGGCTGAAGGTATGGGATGGTAAATATTCTTGAGCGCTCTCGCAGTAAAAGAAACAGGCACGGACCTTAAGAAATGTTGTGTGCTGCTGGAGAAGTTATCCCATCTGTGTGGAAAGAAACAGTGAGGAAGCAAAAGGAAAAGAAGAAAGTGTGCAGAAGGAGTTGTGAGACACAAATGAGAGAGGAAAAAAGCAGCCTGTGAGTTGAGGTGGACATCTGAACTTTAACTCAAAGCTGTAGCTGTTGAAAATAGCTACTGAGGAAAGCCATCAGATACTTTGGACAGCGTGTTAGACATAGGAAGGAAGAAAATGGGCAGCAAGACAGAATTTCATTGCTGTTTGAAGATGATTTGCTAATGTTTTTCCCTGCTGATTCTCTGAACAGGAAATGGCCAAAGCAGAAGGTCTGTGGAATCTTTTTCTCCCAGCGGTCAGCGGTCTCAGCCAGCTTGACTATGCACTAATAGCTGAGGAAACAGGGAAGCGCTTCTTTGCTCCTGAGATTTTCAACTGTCAGGCACCTGGTTAGCAAACACTGTGCCTTAACTATGGCACTGAGAGCATTAAAAACATTGGGCATCTAATGCCTTACCATTTGTGTGTCTGAAGAAATGAACGTAACCACTCGTTTCTCACAGACACTGGAAACATGGAGGTCCTGCACATGTATGGGACTGAAGAGCAAAAGAAAGAGTGGCTGGAGCCCCTTCTAGAAGGGAAGATTAATTCTTGTTTCTGCATGACAGGTAAGTTTTTGTTCCAGAAGAAAATAAGAGGCACATGGCAGAAATTTGACGATGACATGTAAAAAGTATAAAATCATAAGTTTTATGTGTTAGAGAATGCAGCCTGGTCTAATCCCTGACTTAGTAGTTGGCAGCCCTGCCTGCAGTGGAGGGGTTGGAATGAGATGATCTTTGAGGTCCCTTCCAACACAAACCATTTTATGATTCTGAGAAATTAATACTGAAATTTCTGTGATATCTGTGATTGTGTTTGAATATGAAGTCATCTCTAGGATATGAGCACAAAGTGAATCAACCTTGCTGCTCCTCCCTCATACTATTTCTCATACTCTGCCAAATTACGATTTCCGTATATTTTCAGTTTATTTTTAGTTGTAGTAAAATATATTTTATTGTGTGAGCCAGACTTAGAATTTATCCTGGTTTATAATGTGTTTTTGGGTTCTGTGGAAACATAGGCACAAGTCTGGTGATTTTGATAAGTATTGTGGTTTTGCGCTTGCTTTATGTTGGTAGCTCAGCATTATATTCCTGTTTGATCTTGTGGCATCTCTGGAAAAGTGAGCCCTTCATTTAGAAATGTAGCTTTTGAATATATGTCAGAACCTTGATCTTCCTGCATCAGCAGGAGTCAAGAAAACTTAGCCTTGCAGAGCCAGGTGTCACTGTGTTCACCAAATGGGAGAGGATTCTTTCCCTTGAAAGATGATAGCCTTCTCTGTTGTGGATGATCATTGGTGATGCTTTTCTGGCAACTTTATTTCATAATCCATCAGAAGAGTCATTTAAGTTTCTTTATTTTCATTTGAGAAAAGCCTGGGAGAACACAGGTTGAAAAGGATGACTGTTATCTGCAAATAGACTGGGGAGAGGAAGGATTTAAAACATCAGGAAAAGAAGAAGTCTGTTTACTATAAAGGGAAGTCTGAGTTCAACAGCCAGCAAGTTTAAGTTGGCTATGAATAACATGTCATCAGAAAATAGAAAGTCTTTGACCACAGCAGAGTGAGGTACTGAAAACAGCATTTTCCACTGGGAGCAGAATGGTGATGTTTTTAGGGTATATCTAAATCTATGTGTTTGTGGTGGTGGTACTACAGCTTGAATACTTAATTCAGTGGTTGTGTTGTTTTTTTCTTTAACACAGAACCTGATGTGGCTTCGAGTGATGCCACCAATATGCAGTGCAGCATCGAGCGAGATGGCAGCAGTTACGTGATTAATGGCAAGAAATGGTGGAGCAGTGGTAAGTACAGAAACACTGCATAGGAGTGACTAAGTCTAAAATTCTCCTTAAGAGTTGGAATAAATAACTACAAAATCTGAAATGTTGCTCTTCCATTTCTGAATTGGAAAATTTCTTCTTGAGTAAAGGCAGTTGAAGGTAAAACAACAGAAAAAGCAGAATTTGTGGTTTTGGATCTGTTTTAGAACCTCTTAATTTAGTTTGCAGAATGAATGCTGGTATTTTTCTTCGAAGTATACCTCATTCCCTTAGGTAACTTACAGGTTTATGGTCATAGTCTTAAAACAGTTTTTATGACACTGTCTTTGGCAGCTTGTGTTTGAAATTTGAGTGTATTGTAGCATTCTGGTAAACTGTGGCTGATTGTTAATCTAGTTTGTGATGCTGATAGTCTGCTTCTGAAAGGGGATTTTTCTTTTTTGTCAAGAAACTTCCCAGAAAAATCAGTAGGTTGAACTATAAGTGCTGAATGTCCCTGACTTTGGAGTACTGTTTTTGGTGTGCGTGTTTGCTTACCAAAATACGAGCAACCTATTCTGAAACATCATCATTCACTGAAAGTTTGGAAGCTAACCAGATAAACTGAGTTGCTAACTGAGTGAAACGTGGATGTTTCATTTAAGTACCTTTGTGTGGGCCTGCTCCCATGCATAGATTGATGTGCAATACCGAGACTCACCAGAAGATAGGGCTCACTCAGTTTCCTAGCAGTGCAGATCTGGAGGCAGAGGGAGGCGTGGTGTCTCAACCTGAAAGCATCGCTTGACTGCTAGCTGCTACCCTTGCTTTGGGACAGTATCTCCCACTTATGAATTGCAGCTCCTGAGGGAGCAATGGGAAAGTTCTTTCGGAGGTCGTGCACAAAATATATTGCTCTTTAATTGATTTCACAGAATCACCAAATGGCTTGGGTGAGTTATGTGTGTCATAAGCTGGGGAGGAACCTTTTATAAGGGCAGGTAGTGACAGGATGAGGAGAAATAGCTTTAAACTGTAAGAGAGTAGATTTAGATTTGATATTAGAAAGAAACTCTTTACTGGGAAGATGGTGAGACACTGGAACAGGTTCCCCAGGGAGGCTGTGGATGCCCCCTGCCTGGAGGTGTCCAAGGCCAGGCTGGATGGGGCTTTGAGCAACCTGGTCTAGAGGGAGGTGTCCCTGCCTATAGCAGGGGGGGTAGAAATGGGTGATCTAGTTGTTTATTTTTTCTCTCAAGTCTGGGTGAACATACAGACCTTGGATGTTTGGGAATTGCCTGGAGTCTGACAGCCCGGTCAGAACATCGCTCCAGGTGCAATCACTCTGTACATGTGAAAACAAATATAACTCACTCACACAGGAAGTCCTTTGCGTCATGGAAGGACTGGAGATTATTACCAATGCATGCTTTGCTCATTTACAGTAAATCTAGTCTGGTTTAAGCATATCAGATTGATGATGTGTGCGTAGGCCGTGTGTCAAGCATTGCTAATTGCTCCACTATTCCTCAAAATACTGGACAAAAGTTCTAAAGGCTTTTTTTATCTCAACAGAGAGAAAAAGCTTGTGTCTTGCTTATGCTACAGTTGTTTGTTGTCTGTCATTGTAGAGCTTTTTCTTTCAGTCTACGATTATGTAATTAGGAACATTGTCTGAAAAGGAGAGGTTCTTGTTGTCTTTCATAAGCTCTTTATTAGAGCCTGCAGGATGGTTGGAGGCTGAAAGAATATGCTGTAAATAACGCTGTTTTGATGTGTTTAGAAAGCTAATTTGTCAATGTATTTTAAACCCTCCAAGAGATAAATAGGAAAACTGCAGTTGTTTATTTATCTTTTTCCTGGAATCTCCACCCCAGTACCATTGGTGGCAGCAGACAGCTTTTGGTGCCTGAGTGGAGAAACACTCACCAGTCGTGAGTGTGTGTGGAGTCAGAATCCCTCTCATTCACAAAGCAAATAATTTATCCTTTGAGTGATTAACCCCTATGCTAGAGATGCCAGTACCTACTCAAACAAAGTAAAGCATATAAAAAATGCAAGTCAGTACACACTGAGTATATTTTATTGTATCTTTGCATATTTTAAAAGGCTTTAGTTACCTCTCTATCTCATTATTTTACAAATTCCAACCAAAAATTCCAGGCCCAGTGTCTGAAGGTTAACTTTAAATGAGCATTTCTGCTCATGCTTTGCTTGCATTACCTTGGCATTCATGTTTCATCTTACGTTTACAGAGATCTGGAATGTGCCTCTTGTTGGCCACTGGGCTTACTGAAATTTAGGATGAGCAGAAAATGGAGAGATGAAAGATTGGTTTTGGTAGTTACAGAGCAGGAGTTAGTGTTTCTTGTGGGGGCTGTTCTTGTTGCTATATGTTTGTGCAGGCACATAGAAAATGACTTTTTTCTTCTCTCAGTTCTCAATTGTGAACTAATATCTCATTTTAAGCTGCACCTGTGTCTCTGGAGTGAAAACTAGGGAGAAAAAAATGGAAGTGAGTTATTAGTCAAATGCTGTGAAGCTTTACAGAGCAGTTGGAGAAACATAAGATTATTGAATTTTGGTACAAAGGTTCCTGTACTGTCAATTTATTGCTGATATTTTGTTTTCTGTTTTAAATTGGTTGTTTAGACGTGTGCTGATTTTTCACTACACAGCAATTTAATATTCTGTTGCTGTGACCCTTTTGACTATGTTTTCTTTTGTTTGCTGCTATTTTTAAAAAAATATTTAATAAATACCTTGATTGTTTCCAGCATTTTCAGTATTTTTTTCTGCCTGGCGCTTAATTTTGATCGTGTTCCATTTTTGAACTCCAGTGTAGTGTCTTGGCTTGTCTGCAGGCTTGAAAATTCGTGTGAAAGATGACTTGCAGAGAAACAGCTGTCGAAATAATAGCCCCCGGGTTAGTAAGTAATCCCTATTTTGATTAAGATAATGAAAGGAACAGTCTATATAGTGAAGCTAATTGTTTCTTCAGTACGGACTTCAGAGTTCATAGAGATTTCTTCAGGTACTTCATGCTGTTGTTGTCTTCTCCAGTACCCATAATTTTTTGCTATTTTCATAACACGCATTTTAAAAGAAGCACCTAGGAAGGCATACAGAATTGGGTTGAGGCAGGTGTGAAACAGTGCTATGCTCTTGGTGACCTGGAGTGCAATGTCTATGGTTTTACTTGCCTCACAGTCAGTAATCAATAGGTAGATGCTATCTATGGCTCGCCAGAACTTAACTATGTTATAAGGTAGTTGGGTAATTATGAAAGCAGCCACTACTGCCAGCAGAACCATGAAGGGTCTAGATTTTTTAGCGTTTGCAGATCTAAAGATTGCCCGAGCAGTGACTGAATAGCAGGTCACCATTACTAGGAAAGGAAGCAGAAACTCCAGGATAACTTCTAGGATCTGAATGGTTGCTTTTAAAAGTGTTTCCATGTTCGCTGGAAATACAGGAAGGCATTCATTCCTATTATTGTGTCTCATGACTTGGTTAAATATCAGTTCAGGTATGCTGAGCAGTATGGCAGACAGCCAGACACAGATGCTGGTAATGCTGCAGTGTTTTCCAGCTCTTCCGTGCCGCTGGGAGGTGGCCCTGTATCTGTCCACACTGATACAGGCCAGGAACAGCATGCTAGAGCTGAAATTCATGGTGTAAAGGGAAGAAGTGAGCTTGCACATTGAGTTTCCGAGTTCCCATCCCTGCACTGCATTTGCAGCCCAAAAGGGGAGTGTAAAGAGCAAGAGCAAATCAGCAATGGCTAGGTGCATGATGTACGTATCTGTCTTGGTCTTTGGTTTCTTGCAGTAGGCATAAATTGCAACCACTAATGAATTTCCAGCAACTCCAACAGTGAAAGTCAAGGCATACAACACAGGGAGGAATACTTTCATGAATTTTCTCACATCTTCTTTTTCACAGAGAAACTCGTATGTGTTGTAATCTATATCAGAGTTGAGGTAATGCTCATCATCCTCAATCCAGTAATCAGTTGAGTTGTTCACCCAGCCCATGGCAAAGCTGAAAGTCAAATAAAAAGAAAAAGGGGGGGAGAGGGGGTAGGGTTGGGAAGACATCAAAGAAATAATATGGGCTTCAAGTTTTAAAACTTGATACGTAAAACACAGCTGTCCTATGGAGTCAGTTCCTAAATGGCTGTGGAACAGACTGAATTTAGTCTGCTCCTACAGATCAAAGCAATGTGGGTACCCTGGATCTTGCTGCTGGAGACAGCTCACGATGGTATGCACCCAAAGGAATCCTACCACATACAAAACTGCCCACAAGCACCCAAACAGTTCTCAACTTCAGCTGTTTTTTCAAGTCCTATCTCATGATGAATTCATTTAGTAAACACTGACTGTATCCTCACTGCCTGTTTAAGACTGAAGTTTAAATGTTCTCATCTTCAGTCTTCAGCAAGTCATGTCCTAAATAATTTTCTTCTCTAGGAGCTGTGTTCTCTAAGTGATTAGCTGAACTTCTTTCAGTTGTAAACTACAGTACTGCAGTGCCACGTTCCCTGGAAATAAATGGCATTAAGACTTCTTCATGGCACTAGCAAAGAGCTGCGGAGGATGAAAATCACATGGCCCTTTCTCATCTTCTGCAGTGTCTCAGAATTTGAGGTCAATGTTACAAGAAAGCAGATCCTTGTCAGATATTCTGCACAGAGCTCTTAATTCATGTTTATTTTTTTCAATCTTGGCAAACTGAATGCCAGCACTGTTTTTTAGATAAGGTTTAAATGAATGGTTGCTAAATTTTCTCCTCAAAAATATTTTTAATGTGTTCTGTTTGCCAGGAAAAAAAACTACTGACTGATGTCATATTCAGGAACACAGATTGATTAAACAGACAGAAATTAATAATTTCTGTTCTTGATATTTCTTCCAATACTTGAAGGGATCTTATAAACAGGAGGGGCTGTTTACAAGGGTGGATAGTGATAGGACAAAGGGGAATGGTTTTAAACTGAGACAGGGGAGGTTTAGGTTAGATATCAGCAGGAAGCTTTTCCCCCAGAGGGTGGTGAGGCACTGGAACAGGTTGCCCAAGGAGGCTGTGGATGCCCCATCCCTGCAGGCATTCAAGGCCAGGCTGGATGTGGCTCTGGGCAGCCTGGTCTGCTGGTTGGTGACCTGCATATTGCAGGGGGGGGTGAAACTAGGTGATCATTGTCCTTTTCTACCCAGGCCATTCTGTGATTCTACGAGTTATATATGGATGTATATATTCAGTGGATCTGCCATATACACTTTATAAACTGCTTCAGATGGCAATTAACTGCTTGGTTTGGCTTTCACTCGTTATTACTTTGTTGGATTTTTTTTTTCTTCTAACATTTCAAAACACTTTCATTAAACTTTAAACAATGATTACTCTCAGTTTAAGACTTGCAATCTGTCATGTACTGCTGCCCAACTGAAGTGTGCGGAATGGGAAGTCATGGAATTCCATTCTTTACTTTGGCAAGGGTTACCTATTTTTGCCTGGCAGTGTCTGTTAGCAGGATTTCTCAGCGGGGGTAATCCTTTGCAGCTTTACAGTACTTTGAGGAGAGAATCAGACATCAGCTGTGAATGTCTCTTTTTTTAGTAGAAGACTACAGGACAAGTTTAATGCTCTTAGCCAAAGCTAGAAGAAAAATAAAACTTTAATTGAAAAGCTTGGGCTGTAATCTAAACTGTTGCTGCAGAAACCGTCTGGGAACACTTAATCAAATTGGATCACAGGCAGATTTTCTTGAAAGCAAAATGATGAACATTTTGGTGCAAACTTTCAGAAGTCTGGGTATCACAAAGCACTTTGGCTGTGACAGGGAGCTTGCTCTGCTGCCTGACGTGATTTTGGCTGACTGGACTTCGTGATGGCAAGAGATATGTAGTGTTCAGCTGTTGATACTTCTCTCTTAAAAATGAAGTGATGTTTTGGCTAGCATACTTCTTCATATTTGTCACTCCTGCCTGTGTTATTGCTCAGGCACACGTGCATGCACTTTGCATAAAGCCCTGCTGTCCTGCGGAGCTGCTGAATGGCAGTGGAAGGGACTTAGCCTCCGTCCCACACAGTGCTCTGAGTGGGATTCCTTGTAAGATCAAAGCAGTGTGGGTCTGCTGAGTGTTACAGTTGTAGACACCTCAGGATGTTGTGCACAGAAAGGAATATTCTCACGTACAAGGAATGTTACCATGTACAAAACTGCCCACAATTACCCAAGCAGCTCAGAACTTTGGCTGCTTTTTCAGGTATTTTTTTCTACGAAATACAGTTTTCTTAACAGACAGCACGGCATGGTATTATTCCAGCCTTCCATTTAGATACAGATTCAGTGTTTAAACTCTATGTGGGATTGTACAAGCACATATTGAATGAAGTTAATGCTCCCAGTTTAAACAGATGTTCCTCCTAATGCATTGAGCAGTAACCTGTCTGACCGAAATAACTGAATTTTAACATTGGAAATGATATCTCTCTGTAAAGCTGACCTAATTAAGAGTAAAACCTAGCTTTTCTATTTGTAAACATATCACACTTAGTATACAGAGCAGTGAGAAATAAAGCAGAACTAACCTTTTGTCAGCAGGCTGGCAGGAGATGCTCTAAGTGAGATGTGCTTCAGTGGAATGGTCTGACTTGGTCCGACGCATTACATTTTGTCAGTAAGCACCACACCCTCAATCTGGAAGGCAGTTGCACTTTCGTTTTGATTTGTCAGTTTAAAAAAAAAATAACAACAACAACAACAAATCCTGTTTTCCTTGGAACCTTTCCTATTGAACTCTCACGTTTCCTATTTTCCTTCCCGTTCAACCCTGAATGCAATGTTCTCTGGAACGTCAGTGCTCTTTTCCTATTTCTCAACATTGTCCAGATATGCTTCACATAATCAAGAGGCTTTTGGCAAATTACACGTTTAAAATGTGAAGAGGAGGAAAAAGAGGAGAGATCTGTCTGGGGCAGCTGCCAGCAGGGAGTCACCGTATTGTTTCATCAGAGCAGTGCTGTGCTTTTGATGGCTACCTGTAGAAGGATTGAAGAGAGCCTTATATGCTGTGTTTTAGTAACAACAAAAAGATAAATTTGCTTTTTGTGAGACAGAGGAGTTTTCTCATCCAGTATTGTGCTGTGGGACAAAACTAGGAATGTGATACCTAAAAGATATGGAAGAATCAACAAGTATGTGAGCAGAGAGCCCTGCACCCTGCGGGAGAGTTCTCAGGGCCTTGGATGTTGCCAGTCAGGCTTATAATCAAGTCACCGTTTGTGTTTTTATAGGAACTGTAAGCAAGGCAGGTGTTGTAGAAGAAAAATAAACAATGCTGTTTCCTCTGAGGCAATGTTTCTTCTGCTTTTGGTGTATTGCCTGTGCTATAAAGCATTGATACTTTTACAGGAAAAGAAGGATGGAAAGGTTCTGAGCTTTGCATGCAGACATTTTGCTTTTGCACTGAGGTGTGAACTTACCTGTACTAAGAATTCCTAAGAAGTCTGGATCTTGCTTAGATTTCCATGATCTGTACAGCTCAAATTGGCTTCTTGTGCAAGAATTACCCTGTGCAGAGTGTCAGGAGTCCCTTGTGATCTCCCAGGGTTTTTATTCTGTTTGGATTTTCCTGTATCCTTGTGAGTTTCAGTAAATGCAGTATTGATGTAGAACAGGGAGAGATGTTAGGCAGACCACAAGTCAGTTTTTGCTTTTTGCCATGCTGGCTCAATCGACCCACTTGCTGTGGCTGAATCAGTCATCAGTCTGTTTTTTGAGTATTTTGGAACACGGGAAAGGAAAAGTTCTTTACTGTGGTCAGCAAAGAAAGTAACAGGCGGATTCTTATAGCTTCATTTACGCTCACAACAAAAAAGAAGAATATTTTGGGAGAGGAATTAAAAGCTAAAGAAAGAATTCTGCAGTGTTTGTGCATAGTTCTGTAGTTTCCATCTTGAGCTGTCATAGCACTGTGGTGTTTCCCCACAGCTGTAGATAAGTATATTTGGGTTGCTTCCAGCATGTCTGCTTCCTGCAACTTGTGTCACTGCTTAAGAGGCCTGGCTGTATCTCTTTAAAATAAGTGAATCTTTCAGTTCTCTGGAATTATCTTTGTCTTAATACTGTCTCCATCAAGATAGAGTTATCGTGGTAGAACTGAGAAAGCTCCTAGAGATACGGAAGATGGAGGAGAGGGAAGAAAACATTCCTAAACTCTGCAACTGCCTTCACTGGCGCCATCAGAGGCTGTGAACTCGGGCTGGGAGTAAGTAGTGGCCACACTCAGTGCAGAACTGAGTTGCCTCTGGTGATTTTCTGCAGATCCCCAGCACTGTCTGGCTTCCTGTTTCCTTGAGAGCCCATTATAACCTTTACCATACGTTGGGTGTCCAGCAGTGTTATCTGGAGAGAACTGTAAGACTGCAAGTGTGCCAGAAAGTAGAAAATACCTCTTGGGAGGGTGGTTCTTTTGTATCCATTGGAAGATCTCACTGACAGCAACCAGTACCACTCTGCCATCCACCTGACATCTCGCAGGACAGTCTGGATCATCTGTTCATCAGTGCCTTTCTAGGAAGTTGCCAAGCCAGTAAATGTCACACACTGGAACAGGCTGCCCAAGGAGGCTGTGGATGCCCCATCCCTGGAGGCATTCAAGGCCAGGCTGGATGTGGCTCTGGGCAGCCTGGTCTGCTGGTTGGCAACCCTGCACACAGCAGGGGGGTTGAAACTAGATGATCATTGTGGTCCTTTTCAACCCAGCCATTCTATGATTCTATAATCTTTAGCTGGGAAGGGTAACCCAGCAGGCTTATCAGTCAGCAGCCAACATGACAAAAGTCATAGGTATTCTGAATATTCAGGTAGTAGATTGTCCTGCCTTAGTGTCCCTAGCCAAACATTTGAAGGCTGGACACTGAAAAATGGTTACTAGCTTATGAAACCAGGCTGTAGAGCAGCTCTTTAAAGTAAAGTCTGTGCTGTTCGTGTCCATGCTACATTCAGCATTCTTTACCTAGAAGAATTCATATGCAAGTTGATTTTTTGAAGGTCAGTATTTTGAGTATCTTATGCCCTCTAGTAACAGTGATTAGGTAACTGGTAGGATTCTGATCAACCCCCGGAGTGCATTTTTAAATATCCCTGTCTTTGCCTATGCCAACGTCTGAAGGGTTTAAAAATACAGAAAGTTGCTTAAACTTGCAGTGTCTCCAAATGTAGCAGTGTTGTGGTATAAAAGTTGTGGACAGGTTGTGTGCATCTATGCTTAAAACTCACCTAACACCTCTCTTATTTCTCTTTGTTGAATTGTTTCTTGCGAAACCACTGCTAACTCCTGCCAAAAGGACAGGCGTCTCTGCCTCTTACCCCATCCTCCTGCAGCTTCTTGGAATTCCATAAGGAACGTTTGAATGCCATTTATAAATGAGGGGTTTATTCCATCCAGGCAGTCTGTGTTTTTTCAAAGCGATGCAGTCTTTCGGAGACCTACACTGCACCAGGACTTCAGAGTTGGATAAACAGCTCTGAGAAGTGGGAATGGCCAGGAAGCTGTCTTCCTTCCCTGTGCACAGATGGATGAAAAGTTCATTTGAAACTTACTGCTGCTGCTTGAGAACTCCTCGCCAGACGTCTCCTTCTCAGTGAACTCCTCACTGAGTTCAACTTCTGCTTTTTTTTTTTGTTTGTTTTTACATAGAATGGAGGAATGCTGCCCTTTTTGAAGCAGGGATATAACTTGAAGATAGTTTACAAACTGTTTGTCGTGATTCCGGAAAATAACCTTTGTTGTAAACCGCACCAAGATAAATGTGGTTTAAATACATGTGCAATTCTCTGGGGAAAAAAGTTGAATGCTGCTCATGAATACAGCATTTCTCCTTTTATGGTGCTATGCCGCAAGGTGTATCGTGTGCAGTGTGGGGGCTCACTGCCTGCTTGTTGTATTTGTCCAGAGGAGTCAACTATCTGAAATTCTACTGAGTTGATTGATCCCCTCCCATGCCAGCTTTTCATTCAGCTATTTCAGTGCGTTGGTGTAGTGCAGCCTGTAGGCCACAAATAACTGTGCTTTGAGGCCAGCGGACGAAAAGCATACTTTGCAGAAGAGGAAGGCAGACAACCAGCAGTCTGGCCCTCAGAGTTTGGTAGAATGAAAGAAATCTCTCTTCCCACTCCCTGCCCATCACAGCAGTGGTTCTCATAAGGGAGCAGCTCATTTCACAGCCACCTGATTGCACTGTGTAGACTGGAGGCTCCCAAACCCGGTGAGAACAGCTGCCAGAAAAGCTACAAAGCCTTCTTTGTTTCTGGCATCAAAACACCTGAAGTTGGCATGCGTTAAATCTTTGAATCTCCGTGGAGCTTGACATCTCCCTTGTGATAGAGATAAAGGTGCTGCCGATAGTTACGTATGTCAAGTATAATCCTGCCCTTCTTTCCCTTTGTTGCCTGCGTGAGACGTTGAAAGGAATGGGAGCATGCTTTGGTACAAGGAAACTTTTAAAGGAAAAAATAGTGGGGATCAGGTCTCTTAGAATTATGGCACCTTAATCAGTGGCCAAATCTTTTAGGACTTGTACATTAGAATGGTACAGAGATGCGTATTGATGGCTTGAAGTGCTACCAAATTATTTTCAGATAACTATTTACGATGAGATCTTTTTTGAAGCACAAACTAAAATCATACGCAAAAGGGGGAGCAAAACCCTAATTCCAGAGCTGCTGAAGTAGTAGCAAGGTTGTCAGTGGTAGCCTTCAGTAGTCTTATTTGCACAACTCAAGGGCTGTCAGGGGGTTGACATTTCATTCCCATAGCTCCTCCAGTCTTCACAGCTTTGAGAAGTTTTGCTTTCGAAATGGCAGAGTCACAGCTTCAGGTTTGCTTTTGGGTCACACGTTAAGCTGTAATGCAGACAGAAGTAAACGGATTCAAGTTCCTTCTTGTTCTCTTTTCTTCAGAAAAGATGGTGGAGCTGGACCCTGGAGGGTTGGATATTTGGCTTTTGGTTTTCTCCTCCCAAGTTGACTGCCTTTTTCATATTAAGCAATAGGATGGATTTTGTTACTGTCTGATTAAGATGGATTTTGTTACTTACTGTCTGATTACTCAGTATAAACACAGAAGTAGATTGCATTCCTTTGTTCCTGCAGCACGAAAGGAAAGATTTGTCCATACGAAGCTGCATTTGATTGTACACTGAGATTTTTATATTGAAAACTATTCTTGTGTTTGTGACTTTTTTAAGGTGCTGGGAACCCAAACTGCAAAGTTGCAATTGTAATGGGCAAAACCAAGAACTCCTCAGCATCCAGGTAAGGATTCGTAGGAGGTTCAAAGAACTGCCTATAATTTGTTTTCAGGAGGTGCCACTGCTTGCAAAAGCTTTAGACGAGGTAGCATTATTTGCTTTGATTGGTTGGTTGGATGTGGCTGTGACTTGCAGAGAACTTCTGAACCCTGGGCTGTGTTTAGCTAAAAATACAGATGACTGAGATCCTGATCTTTTTTGTTGTTTTGGTCAGCTCTGATAACTGAAACCTCACGACCTGTTCACCAACTTGCATCCTAAGGCTTCCCCTTCCATTGCACTCACTGCAGTTCTTGTGCAGCTGAGTGATGATGGATTGGATCAGGAAATTCTTAGGGTAACCTGAGTTTGGAGGAGCCTCCGGGAT